GGGGCAGGGGCGGGGCTAGGGCGGGGCTCCTCCCGTCCTCTTTTTTTCTTGCTGAAATATGGTAACCCTAGTTCAATCTCCTTCTCATACACTGTATCCAGCAATGTCTGCTCTGCTCTTGGAGTGTAGCCTGGTCGTAATGATTGAATCATGTCAATTAAATGTTTGTTCTGAACAAGACAAAAGGGAGAATTTGTTGTGTAAATTAACCAAAGGATCTTTTGTTTGTGGAGTCTTGCTGGAATTTGCTGGTCCTGATTAAAACCATGGATAAGTTCATACTGGATGATGATAATGAAAGTCTTTTGGATACAGGTAACTTACTGTCTGATGTTTAATTGCAGCACTTCTGGTGGTTCCTGCAGATGACTCTCTGAAGTTGTAGACATTGCAGATGATGGACATTCATAACCTCATATGTTAAGCTGGACCCTGACACACAATGGTAAGTCACTGACTCACAGAGTATTAGTCAGTGCACTGCTTTAAAAAAAAAAAGAGAGAGATTGTAAATGAAGGATTCATTCTACTACAGCTGTTTGTGCCACAGTTTAAATGATAGTTTATTCTAAACCCAGTTTTATAGGGAAAATGCAGACGTTGCCCGACTTACGCAAGTGTTCTGGAACGCCTTGTGTAAGTCGAATTTTGCGTAAGTCGGGAACGTATCTCCGACAATTACGCAAAAAAAAAAGACGAAAGTTGGAGAGTATGGTGTGCGGAGTTAAAATATTAATAATTTTGAGAACTGAGTCAATCAGAGTTCAGGTAGGGAGAAGCTATAAACTAGGAGTATGAGACCACCCAGGTGGGCTCAGTAGATGATCCTGATGAGGTACATGGTGGTATCTCCTGTAATTGGAGGCTGGGTCGCACATCTACTAGCATGGTCCCACAGAGTCAAGCCCTTAATAGAGTAAATGACATATTGTGCCATGTTTATAAACCTAGACCTCAAAAATTAGATGTCTTCCCTCTAACCCTTTCTTTATAGAGAAAAGCAGCCTTTAACTCAGTTTTTGATAGAGGTTTATGGACCCAGCAGATTTAAATTAAATATTTTAAGAGATTATAAGTAGTTTAGGCCTTAAAATATTTTGTATCAAATTCAGATTTCATGGTAAACAGGTTTATTTTTAAGAAGAAAAGTGACTAAATTTAAAAAAGCTGATTTGTAGCTTCCCTTGTACAGAGCAATAGATTGATTACTATTTCTGTAGGCTGAGAATTGTTTAGAGGGAACAAACACCACACATTTGACTGAGTTTCAGCCAGTTTAACTCAGAGTTACTGGGCTTGTTGCAGGAGCTTTGTGCTGGACCAGTTCTGCTCGTGGGGAATATAACTGAAGTGTTTGCCTATCCTGGGAAACAGAGTGGCACTTTAAAGTGTGTTAACTAGGGCTGGTTTTATAAAAAGGAGAGGGGGGGGGAAACGTTTTTTCCCTCCTGTCATCTTCAGGCTTTCAAATGTTTAAATGATGGATTTTTCACAATTTGTGTGAAAAGTTAATTATTTTTGCATTGAGAAATCAAACCAATTCTAGTGCTAACTAAACATATATTTTAATTAGCACCTAGTGTAGACACAGTCAGCCATAGTTGTTTTTTGTTTTTAAGTATGAACAGGTTATGATTATCCCTAAGTGGTATTTTAAGAACTTCTTAGTTAAGACATTTTAAAATGCCATTCATTTTAAGTATAGAGAAACCCAGACAGGGAGGTTTGTTATAATTGGACTTGAAAGGATTACATTATCAGTAAATGTTGATTTCACCACACATGGAAACTGACAAAATATTTTCATCAGTGATAAGTGAAATTCACAGGCAAAGTAAGAAAAATTGCTTGAGAACTTATTTAGAGTTTGATTTCAGGATATTTACTTTGTATATTGTGACGTGATGTTGACAACTTGTTTTTAACAGTTCTATAAAGCTTTATGACAGGCTTGCTTGTGTAGTTCTACTTTCCCTCTCAAGAGATTTCCAGTAGGTTTCATTGGATAGCTGCTCATACCCCTCTAGGCTCCTTTGAACAAATGCATGAAATCCCATTATGGATGCTTAAATTTTTATAAATATCTATCAAACAATGGCTAAATTCAGCAAAGCTAGCATAGGGCTGTGAAAAGTGGCACATCCCTGAACCAGTCATGCTCATCCCAACAGAAGGGAGCTTTGTTCTCCTTCAGGACAGCTTCCAATCCTCTTTTCCTGTTATACTGCTCGGCATGATTCTCTAGTAACTATGTAATTGGCGCTTTCAATGGCTAATACAAAGCTAGTAAGGTGGGGGATGTGACGGTGGAACTAGCAGAGTCCTCTTATTTTAGGGATGATGGAGACTACAGTTCTCCAGTTCAGTAGAGCTCTTGTAATGCTCATGTCACCAGCTCTATTTGGTTAGCGGGTCAGTTAGTGTATTCTCTTGCACCACCACTGTTTGATTATACCATGTGCCTGTTTTCCAGAATACAAGAAATATATCTGATTGAAGTAGGTGCTGGGAAACTTTCCATTTTTTTAATAGATAAAATCCCATTTTTGAAAAAACTGTGCTCTCCTTTTTGATACACCAAAACCCTCCAAGAGGTTGTGACCCACACATTTGGAATCACTGCTCTATAATATGTATACATTCTATCTACAGGAGAAACCACCCTTAGCATTGTCTGATGGCTGGCTCATCTGATACTCTCTCACTAAGTGTCAATAGAGGTGGCTGTGATGATGGCAGGCAGCCACTTTTACCAGAGAATTAGTCTTCCTCAGGGGCCTGATGCTCTTAATCTGTTAACCACAAGATACAGTGTAAAATCCAGCTATTTACTCAAGCTGATACCTGAGGAATTGATGAGGGGTGTATTTTTACTTTCATTCTGAGATTGAGTCAGTCTATTAATGTTGTGACACTGATCAACTTGTATTGTCTAAAAATTAGTTTATGTGCAACCAGCAAAAAATGTGATGGGTACACTTCAGGATATAACACCTCTGTCCATAGGTGGAGTGCAAGGTGATGTACATGGTGATTGTTGTTCATCATGCCTTTATACAGAAAAAAGTGTGCTATACTTTTCCCTCTTCCATTTTAAATAAAATATAGGCTCACACTTACTGTGTGGCTTGCACATCCACATTTCTCACTGAAGCCAACATACCCTTGTTAATGAAATCATTTTTTAGTTCTGTGTCCAGCCTATTCCTGGATGGCTTATTCATGGAAACAGATGTATTTGTTTGTTTTGGGACATTGCCTTAGCCCAGAAATTGTTAGAAGAATTTCTCTGAGGGAGTAGATCTTATCTGGATAGGATTTTCATGCTAAATATTGTTACGTACTTTTAGATTAGTCATCTTTCCATCTTCAAGTGGCATTTAGTTGCTTAAAGGAATCAACCCAATTAAAGGATTTTATTTGCAGTGGTTGCTATCTCCCTGATTGTGGGGTACTCCTCTGTAATCTTATTTTGTCCCTTGTAATAAGGACAACTATCTGGCTGAAATGACATTCACAGCATGTGCATTGTCCTCTCATCCTCAACTTGTGTATGCACCTCAGGCTATTTCCTTCTGACTGATGCAGCAGATGTCAGTGTGTTTAATGTGTAAGTGTAACAGAGGCAGAGGTGAGGCTCATGTTTAAAAACAAAAGTGCTGATAACCATTCACTTTACTTGCACCTCCCTCACAGCAGAGAAGACAAGAATTGAATGGGTGTTGAAACTAACCTGCTTCATAACCTCTACTTGGTTTGAGGTGCATTGGTGCTGCATTGTAGGGAACGTGCACTGCAGGTACAACCTGTGCTACAATTGTTTTGTGGAGACAACATGACTTCTCCGCTTCTAATGCCAGCGGCGCCTTTCAGAAGCATTAGATTGATTTGGGGTTAAGTGTTTGCTTGTTTCCAGGAATAGACTGTTACGAGCTGTCCAAATATGGATACAGGACAAATCTAGGCCTAGCCCTGCTCTTTATGAAATCACAACTGTAAGGACCTTTTAGCAGCCTCTGTGAGATACTGAAAATAGTCCTGCTGGGAGACAAACCACATATGTTATACGTCCAGTCTTTCAAGGATCTGGAAACTTGTGCCTAGGAGCTGAAATTCCCTAAAGCAAGAGAGATTAAAGGAGCCAAATTCATGACCTGCAGAGTGCTTGTGCTGGCCATGGAGCTCAAAGAAGCAGATGCTGGGTATCTTGCTTTTAAAAAACAAAAATGAAGTAGGGAGCAGACAATCTTCTCTCTTGGAGGTGCTGGCTCTGCTTCGTTTATAGCCCAGCCCTAAGAAATTATTGATCAAATTGCTTGGGGTTGTTATAGATTGTGCACATGCTTCAGGACATTACAGTCCTAGACAGAAGGAGAATGGTGACTTGCCGCCTCTAGCCCTTACTCTTGTGGTGGTTATGGATGGTGGCTTTAAGAGCAACAGCTGCTCTAGAATATTGTCCTGCTCCTGCATCATCTGCTCAGTGGTGCATTAAGCAAAGTCCAATGCTGAGTCGAGCCAGCTTTGATTGCTGTAATACAGCCCCCGCAGCCGCTGGGGAGTGGTGTGGCACGCTGTTGAGGCGGTGTTGGCAGCCAGACACTAATTCAAAAATGGCACAAGGCTTTTTTTAGTTCAATCCACAGCA